AAAAACTTTGTTATATAGACCTACCTGAACAAAGTGCTTTAAAGAAGACCTCTGCCAGCTCGCGCAGCTCATCAAACGATTCTACATGGAAAGCATGAGTATGCGCAGGAGGGCTAACAATCGCTTTTAGTTCTAGAAGTTGGCTTGTCTTGTTGCCGACCCCTATCGCATACACTTCAATGCCCTGTTGCTTCGCCGCCAGCGCCTTTTGTACAGTAGTGCAGAATGTGTCATCCAGCCCCGTAGTTAGGACGACGGCGATTTTACTTGCATTTAACCTTCCTCCTTGAACATGCTGAGGACTAAGAAAAACGGTCTTGGCCAAGTCCAACGCGTTATACGTTTGGCTTTCGAAAGATGTCCCATTGTGTACGTTCACAGTGAGGATTGCTGCCGATACGTCGGGATATAAGTCCCCTTTGTCCAGTGTCATATGACCATCTATTTCCGGTATGAAAGATATAATAGCGATATTGACGTCACTAGGTCCAATTACGAATGAATCGTTGACCAAATACGCCAAGAAGCGTTGAATCTTTGGTGCATCATCTGGAGAGCCAGTGACATCCAACAGGAATGCTATGTCCGAGTTTTTACAAGCTGAAAAACATTACACAGCACTAACCAGTGTGTTTTACATTTTTTCAATAATCCTCTAGGACTCGTAGACCACCCCCTTTACTTTGTACAGGGATATTCGTCCCATATACTGACCCCAATCCTCTGACAAACCCTAACATGTGCCTTATCTTATGGGACCCTGGACTTCCAACTCTAGGATTGCCATTCATGTCACACCGGAATATAATTTATTTTCCCCAGAACTTACCACATTCCATTGTTCTTATACTTGGTGATTAATTTATTCTAATACTGTGAAAGTCAGACACGATAAGAATAATTTTATTTATTCATTGTTCACTACAATGTACTCATAGAATTGTGCCATTGCAATTGGGTTTTTCTTATTAAGAATATCACAGAACTGATCCTTAGATATAATTTGGGGATAGGCATAACGTATTGAAGGAATTTGTTACCGTCAGTTGTGTTAGCGCTACCCTTCGCTCCGCTTCCATCTGAAATGAAAATAATTTGTTTTAATTTCACTAAATTTTAACTTTGAATCTCATCTGTATGTGCAAGTTGTATAAATAATTGTACAAACAATAAATGACTCGAGCGAACGGGAAAAATAATCCCTCATAAATTTGGCTTTGAAAATGATTAACAACACTGTACCCTAAAACGTTATAACTTAATTTTACATTGAATCACAACCATTTATTCATATCGGGAATCTTAATAAAAGATCCGATTGTCAAACCTCACATTTTTGATAAATAAACATAAACGACGCCAGATGTAAGGCAATGTAAAATAGTCCTCTCATTTTCACTGTACCAGTATGATGTAGTTGTTGATATCTCTCGGTGATTTCTTGTGTCAGTGGGATTTGGAAGTCTATGTTTTAAATATGTTTGATGCACCAAGGTGACCAATTTGACCGAGTTTGAAGTCTTTACACACAAGAAGTAAATAGAAAAACCTGTGATTTATCTGCCTTATCAAATTGATTGCTGTTTAAGAGATACCGACGTTATGCGTTCAAATGTACTCATCTTATTGAGGGTGAGCCGTCCTCGGTAAATTGGGTATTAATACCCATATCACAAGTCACTACTAAACGATTAGCGAGTGAATGCCTTATATTTTAATAAAAACAGCTTTTTTTTAAGTCAGTTGGTTTCTCGTTATCCTGGCAAAAGGTTCATTTGAAACAAAATCCAACAATTAATTTCTATCGGAGTTATGCGACTTAATGCACTACAGCGGAGAAAGCCGTCTGGATTGCTTAGCGATCCCGCGGCTTATTGAACGCTGTATTATCAGCTTGATTGATGTTCGACAAATACCGATGTTTTCCGTCTGGGTTTTATCATTTAATAAGAGTGAAGTACTTCTAATAGATGTGTGGAGGGTCGTATATTACAACAGTCCACAGGTGGAGGGGATGGTTCCCGTTGCTAGAAGCATGAGGCACTTTTAAATGTGCTGTTCATTTTGAGACACATTTGTCGTCTCAATTTTCGATAATTGTAATTACATACACTTAAGTCACAGAGGCATTTTAAGCAACGCATTAGCTGACTTGCATGTTTTATAAACTAAATAACTAAACTTTTGCTAATGCTTAGATACATTTTATGAACATGCAAACGGTTATTCGGCAAATGGAATTAAGTTCTTGAATCGAAATTACGCCACGTTTATTTGATTGTGCGAATACACTTCCTTTTATGTTTTCTATTTTATATTGCAGTGGGAAATAGTTTTCATTTACAATGCGTTTCCTCCATCAGATTCTTATTATACTTATAAATCATGCTATGTTAAGTTGTGTCTACGAGATATCTTTATTAAGATGTGACTGAAGTTGGAGGCATATTAACTGAATTGGTACTAGGGAAAACAGATAAAATATGTTTGCACAGGTTCAAGTTTGATGCAAGCTCCGATACTAGGATGACAATTTTCCTCTAAACAAGACGATAAATTGGACCAATAAATGACAAGGAAAGTGATACAGAAAGATAAATCATCCCTGAAGCGATTACATAATACAGTTTAAAGGTGGCCCAGTTCCTTTATACTGTCTCCCACTGGTGTTGATGATAAGAAGATCACGCTTTCCTAAACTGTTCAAACAGTATAAGACATAGAATTATAGGAAAAGTGTGGCTAATTTTTATTAACTCTGCTAAAAGAATTAGAATAATAATGATCTGAAACAAGGAACAAACGCACAAATAAAATTTAAATGTTTGTCACTCTTTCTCTTGAGTGGCTCACTATCTACGAGACATTTCTAAAAGGTGGTTTATTCCTATTTGAATAGTTGTGTGAGGTAACAAACAATTAAAGTTCAGTTGGAGAATGAATAAGGCAATTTAACTTGCTTGCTTTGAACAATAAATCTGATTTAAGAATCGAGAAAAATGTTTGCTTACGTACATTTTACTACCCGTTCACTGCGCTCCGCAGATTGTCTTTGCAAAAGCGTTTCTTAACTGATACAATACTTTTTCATTCGGTAATACGTACTTTACAGATGCGATCTGCAACGGTTCACTTGCCATATCAAGTGCAAAATCTATATGATATAGCCTGTGTCGGTGTAACGTGACAGAGAGTCCCCATAATAGAGAGTCCGCTCTCCATTCATTTGTACAGGTGAGCCTCGATCGCTCTAGATTTTGACCCACTAAGGTCAGACTAACCCTAACCATAATAACTATATGGAGGGCAGACTTTCTGTTACAAGGACCCTCAGTTATGTTAAACCGGTACCCTTTACACTTTCAGTGGTGATTTTGACTGATTATTCATATCAATCATCAATATTTTCAACGATCAAATTCTTTTCTGTTTTTTTTTCGATTTCACTTCCCCATTTACTCGCATAAAAGCACAACAATCAAACCCTTTAAAAATCCTGTATTTCCTGTTAAAGTCGCAAACATCATCTCACAAAATCATTGAAAAATACGGCAGATGGTTTAACATTTTATCAAAACTGAGTATTAATTTGAGTGAAAATCAAAAATGAAAGAGATTCAAAGAATACCAATTGATAATCTGTGCTATTGTCATACTCGACAGCATAAATTTATTTTGTCTGAATATCGCTATGTATCTTCTGAGCTTCTTTCTTCTCTGCAATCTAACATTGGAAAAGGAATACAAGTTAAACATCACAAAATACGTGTTTCACCAAATTAAATGGCAGCTGAAGATTAACGTGCCAAAAAAGTTACTGTTTCAGCAAACTGGCGCAAATCAGCGATTACAATATTTTAAGTCACATTTTCCAAAAAAAAGAACGGTATGAGTCCCTTACCCGTCTAGATGTGCATCAATTAAGGTATGTTTCTCTAGCGACAGTACCTCCCCCGGTCTCATCTTCCACAGACCTTGTGTTTTGGCATCTGCATTTTCGGTAATAGCTTACCCAGAAACTGAAAAAAAATCCAGTCATTCCCAAACTTCAGGTAATATACATATATATATATATATTATTACTATTATTATTTCATTCATTTTTGTTTTTACTGTGATCAATAAACATACCTTCACCGGGTTATTGATATATTATATCCGTTCGAACATTGTATACAAGCCAAGGTGCGTGACGACGGTCTGCAATGATTCGTCCTGTTCTGTACCGCACTTTGTGTCTTGGATTAGTATTATTTAGAAATAATGTACGTCTTGAAAACAATACACCAAGAGCTAACCCATCAAACAGAAAACTTTAGCAGAAAGTTGTGATAATGCTCTAAATACAGGTACGTTTTGTGTTTGCTGGGAATGGTACAAACATTAGGTCCTCTTTTACAGTAATTGGTATTGAGTCCTATATCATTACTCCTGCCAAGGAGGTTATGTTTTCACCCCTTTTGGTAGTTTGTCATCAACATAACTCAAAAAGTTATGGATGAATTTCAATGAAATTTTTTCAGGGTAGGTCAGAAATGGGTCAACTTAGAAGTGATTAGTTTTTGGTGGTGATCCGGATCAATAATCAATCAATAGTCAAAAATCAAAAATACTAAATCATTATAGAATGAAAATTTAGGGGTGAAACGACATTGGGTGGAGACTTTGCTGTCTTGGCGGAGGTCTGCGCTCTCAGGGTGTTTTTCTAGTGTTCTTGTTCATCCTATTGGAAGGCCTATCAAGATTTACAGGAATACATACGGCGGTGGACGATATTTATCGCTGTACACGGGGTTGCAGTTCTTTCTGCAGCCTCCTTTGCAAGCACAGCCGAATATGTTACACTTCCCATATCCACAATATGGAGTTGTCTGAAACAGAATAATCGCATTTGAGACGTGAACCTGATTACTTTGAACATATGTAAGTATTTTCAAGTGCATAGCCTTCGTTATTTTTTTAACAGATTTTGATCGCTTTGTCAGTTCGGTAAAAATTGGGGGATAAAATATCTATTTCACTTATTTTGATATTCGATTATATTGTTAAAACAATAAGGTGATGAAAAACCTCATTTCCTGCATTCATGTTTTACTTGACGGATACTAAAGTAAGGGGAAAAAGACTAAATGGACCAATTCAGATATAATTGCTAACTTTAATAAAATACTATCTAATTCGATCTAATTCTCACGGATTAAGACACAGTTGATTCTGTTTTGCAATATGACTGACTGATGACTAAAGAGGAAAACACAATCTTCATCTCTAAATGCGTTACACAGAAATGACATAAACAAGTTTGTGCTTGACATGAAGGATAAATTGTGTCTTACCGGAGTACAGTCCGCACACCACCCGTTCTTGTCTGCTTTACAACACACAGCTTGAGCTTCCTCTATAACAGTGACTATCACGAAGACAGCAACGAATATGGTGACAACAGATGCTGCCATCATCTGGAATTCCAGAATTACCACCAAGTTATTGAAGTATAGAACACAACACTATTAAACTCTCCAAAGCGGTCTGCTGCATTCAGCTGGAGTGATGCAGGAAGACTGAATAGAAGCGGCTTCGAATGTCCCGTATAACTGAGCTTTCACAGCTTTCCCTCCGTGTGTGTGTCTTTGATGTTGAATCAACAAAAAGGTGAGAAAAAGCAATTGGTGGTGACATAAATCTTCAAAAAGATCGATATGAAAGAGGAGTGCTTTGTGAAATCTGTCAATATAACATGTAACATTTGAGATTAAGATTAAAACTGCACACCTATCTGAGTATAGCGTTTATTTTTTGTCTAGAGGCAGATTAATGCAGACATGGATAAAATGTGTTTATTGTTAATGTTTTACCGACGACACCCCACAGCAAAGTCGCTTTGGTATTCTGTCCGGGTTTCACAAGACGACTTTAAGTCTGGTTTCATGGCTAAGAACTTAATTACCAAGGTTACACGGTCACATGGGCACAACCTACCCTATCAGGAGCAGTGTAACAGCACCATCATGGAAATCCTAGTCAACTGAACCAGGGAACTGACTTAAGTTTTTGTGAAACTGGTGTCCTCCTAACATTCATGGTCATTTTGAGAAAATACACTTAGTACCCAAAACAAATATACATCATAACGGTATTTAAGATATGGGAAACACTGATTAACAAACTGAATCCGAACAGAGGTATCAACTCTCAAAATGCGCACAGATAAACGCTTGTTGTAACGCGCTTCTTACACGGCATGCTTCATGTTTTTATTACTTGCTTAATGTTGTATCACTTACAGCGATTATTCCTTTCCACAAACAGACATTTTTTATAAACAAATCGAGCTTCGCACAAAACGCAACGAGTTGATTTAAGGCCATTGTAAGACTTAAAGACTTAAAGACATTCAAACTTAACAAAAGTTAAATTGAAGCAGATGGCATTTACTGGTAGGGCCGAAAATACCAATCGCTGTACCGGGGGTTGTAGTCCTTTCTGCAGCCTCCTTTACAAGGACATCCGGGTATAAAACACTTCGATACCTACAATATAGATGACTCAAAAAACAAAAAAGTCATAAATTAATAAAAAATGATATTTATTCTTGCCTCTTCTTGCCCCCCCCCTTCGATTTCTGGTCCCTCTTGAAATTAGAATTCTGACAAGCTGAATCACAGCTGTAAACTGTACCACCGTTCGCCCTCTAAAATACCAAATTTTTTGGAATCCTTCACCGGGCCCCAAACCCCACATCATGTGTGTGTGTGTGTGTGTGTGTGGGGGGGAAGGGGGNACTTAAAGACATTCAAACTTAACAAAAGTTAAATTGAAGCAGATGGCATTTACTGGTAGGGCCGAAAATACCAATCGCTGTACCGGGGGTTGTAGTCCTTTCTGCAGCCTCCTTTACAAGGACATCCGGGTATAAAACACTTCGATACCTACAATATAGATGACTCAAAAAACAAAAAAGTCATAAATTAATAAAAAATGATATTTATTCTTGCCTCTTCTTGCCCCCCCCCTTCGATTTCTGGTCCCTCTTGAAATTAGAATTCTGACAAGCTGAATCACAGCTGTAAACTGTACCACCGTTCGCCCTCTAAAATACCAAATTTTTTGGAATCCTTCACCGGGCCCCAAACCCCACATCATGTGTGTGTGTGTGTGTGTGTGTGGGGGGGAAGGGGGTCGACTTCGCATCCGCGGACCCCCCCCCTTTAAATAATCCTGGATACGCCCCTGCCCTGAAACATTTTGTAGATATTATAAGGAGTTAAAAAAACTTGACAAATATACATGTCCATCCTGTGCCAGTAATGCTCGCGCTGTGACCAGAGGGAGGGTGCTGTAGCTGCAGTTTGTATACTGTATTTGATGAAGCGAGTCATTAGTGCCAAATTGACGTGTGGTCACCGTTGATAGTTGATAGTGATCCAAATTACCTTAAACAGCTGCATTTTATTTTAATGCACTTTTAAAGTACTGGAGAAAACAGGGGACATTCCTAAAGCCACGGTCACATCCGGTCGCACGGATTTCAGGATCGTACATCCCCTGCGATTTTTAGGTGTTGCGGAGGCCGTGGAGGTCGTAGAGGTAGAGGAAAGTCTGCCTTGCGAGTCGCAAGGGCCACATGAGATGTCCTTTCAAGCAGGGGCGCTAATTGCAAGAGTTTGACTTGCTTCCTGTGTAAGTGGCACACACTCACCACCTACGAAGGGAATGCAACGCACGGCGAAAGTGGTGCCCTTTTGCGTCAGTTTTGCTTCACACTTGCGTCACACGTTTGTGGTGACGTACTGACGGCGTACGTCAGTTTTGCTCCCTGTTCTTCTCTTCTTTCTTCTTCCTCCTCCCTTTTTTCTACTATGTAATCTTTTTTCTCTTGCCTTTTGGAGGCATATTAGAAACTAAATTGAGCAAACATGTGAAAATTTTGAAAGTTTTTGTATCCATTACACAGTTGACGTTTATTGTAAAGACACGAGCGTGCGCTTTTTATACACTAGGCGTGGGGGTGACGCACGTGCGACGCATCCCCGGTGTGCTCTCGACTTTGTTCGTTAGTTGTGAGGGCGTGCGCCTTACTCAACACCCAAAGGGCACTTGCTCCTTCATTGCTTGCGACGTGCGTCTTGCACAACGCGCGTCTCTCTTGCTAACTCCGTGCGAGGGGAGCAAGTTACGTTTGCGGCCTCGCTGTTCGCAGGCTATTCGTAGAATCTTTTGGACATGTCCAACATCCTCCGTACGTGCTTACGGGCTGTCTGCAAACTCGAAATTTCGTAAGAAGGACTTGCGTGGGAAGTGAGATTCTGCGCAAAATTTGGACAGTAGATATATACGCGTTAAAAATATAATAGCATTCACCTGAGTACAAGTTCGACTCGGGGACATTTTTATACAAGGTGATACAAAGGAAGTGTGATGCTGAGTGGGCATGATATCCATCAGACTTGCCCCCTTCTCCCTGGCACAAACAAACATATTTTTTCAGTTGGTATATCTCAAGTATAAAGTGTACGATAACAACCCTTAAACAATCGAAGGCAACAATTACAGCAAACTTCAGGGAAATCCCCAAAGAGGTATGTGTTCGAGTGTTCGACAATTTTGCGTGACATATGCTAATGTCCCTCAGTGTCGCTGAGGCCATTTGGAACATATTAAAAAAAAAACAACTTTTATGCAGGACTACAAAGATAACTGACATTTTAGGGAATGATCATGCACATGTTGGCGTTAAAGGCCAACAATATCTTGAAATTTGATGGATCCTCGTAGGATTCAATTAATTTTTATGTTTTTTTTGTGTCATCCTGTCCTACGCTCCCATATAAAAATAAACAAAAAGAAAAGATGAAATTGGGTCTCTAACATTTCTTTGTTTTGTTTTTACTGAAATCAGAGCTGTTTTCATTCAGTGTCAATTTGATACTACAAAGACACCGTTGCAAAAACTTTAACATAAAAATAGTATATTGTCCAAATAAAACGCCAACTTCGAAAAGACAGAAAGGATGTCACATACATATATTCACCTTTTCCACACACCTTTATTATACCTTAAACTGTTTTTTTTAGGCAAAATGGCACAAAATGACCGCCAATTGCTTCCATAATATCAAAAATGGGTTCCTTGTCCCTAATTTATTGAAGCTTGGTGATCTATACGTGTTTTTAGGCCAAAGTTTGATGGAAATAGGAAAAATTGTATATTTTGGTAACTAATTTGCATAATTTATGCTAATGTATGTATCGATATAGCGTGTCTCTTTGGATAAAAAATGTTTTGGCCCAAGGAACATTCATGCCAAGTAAGACATTTGTACTACAAAATACAGCGTTTGGTCAATATTTGGTCCTTAACAAGCCTACTTATCTTCTGAAAATACAAGATAACTACTAGGGTATCAAAATACATAATTTAACGCTATTATTATCTTTTTATATTATTATTTTTTGAGATATTCGAGTAAGAATTTAAACTCACCGATAATGAAAGCTTCAAACCAGTCTACTGTCGAAGTCTACCACACACACCTTAGTTCCTGCACCGTTGTAGCAAGACTGAGTAGCGGCAGCAGTGTAGGTTCTGTATAAGTGAGCTACAACACCTCTATGTGTACGCGTGTCCTTGATACAGTATCAACAAGTGATTAAGCTTATTACATCTTCAAAACCATCCACATCAAAGGCCAGTGTCTTTGTGACAAAGATCTGAGAATTTGACTTCTATCATTTTGGAGTACTGATGTAAAAACCGCATGTCTATCTTAAAATCGCTGTTGTCTCGAGGCAAAGTCAGAATTAGACAAAATTTATTTTCCATTAAGATCTGTTAATATTTTTAACGATGACACGGAGACAAAAAAAAAAAAATAAAATAAAATATTCCCGTAAAACATGTCTGTGTCTTCTGTGTCCGGTGTTTAACCTAAGGACACAGAATCAAAAACCTTGTGGAAGAAACAAACAGATAATAACCCACATTTCCCACATCACGTACACATTTATGTTAACGTATAACGGAAAGAAATAATCAACAAGTTGCTGAATAGCCTGTCTAGTATCACGCTGAGATCCATTCTGAATCGTTCATAAAGCTCTACATGTTCATCACTTAACTGTATAAACATACGGGGAATCACTCCAGTGAGTTTGGGGACAATAAGTGTCACTGTAATTTATCTTTAACATTAATGTTGACAGTACCCAAAATAGTTTTTTTGTCAAGTATATGCAATATTATCCAATATTTACATGCAAAATTATCACCAATTTTTTAATTCTTAAGATAGTAAGTCAATCGGCTTATTGAACGCTGTTATTAGCTTGATTGATGTGCGACAAATACCAATGTTTTCCGTCTGGGTATTATCATTTAATAAGAGTGAAGTACTTCTAATAGTATGTGGATGATCATACAAGATTGGTCAAAGGCTATTCCACCCAATTCCATGTGCGTTCATCTAGAAATGATCACCTCATAGGTGTTAATTGTCATAAACAGTGCTTTTTATACAGGACACCATATATAACATGATAAATGGTTCAGAAAATACAAAATAGTGGTGACAATATCCGTATTTTGTGCCATTTATTCAATTTTATAAAATGTACATGCCGGTGTACCCCCTCAATTCCTATGTTTCACGGTGATTCCCACAAAGGCAAGGGAATATTCATTAAATTTAAAAGACGCCACCAAATGTCACCAAATTTACACACAATTAGCAGTAGGATGTGCTCGTTGAAGGTCACATGTCTAATAGCGAGTGTATCTACCACGCACTGCAATTATCTGCGGCGTGACGGGCCATCAACCAGGGTAAATATTCTGTTTTCTGGAATATTGTCCCTTTCTTCCTAAAGAGAATGGTGGAGTCGGTCCAGATTATTAGGGGGTTGGTTCTCCTCTGAATTGCGTTACACCTTACCTTAACTGCCTCGCTGTTGTGAAAGAGAATGGACCAAATGTTCTATCTATAGTTGATATCAATGCAAAACGTGTGTGGTATATGGTAGCTTACGTATATACGTGCATATAAGTCAATATTGTTAATAGATGGCCGTTAAGATGTAGTAAAAATTGGACCTACATGATAATCAGTCCTATATAATCAAAACGTTACGCCTATTCTACTACCCGTTTTCTTTTTCTGCTGACTTATCAACTTGAACATCTTCAGCTCGCACCCGTCTCGATTTTTTCTTCATACAACACAAGAAACCAATTATGGCAGCAAGCCACAATAATGCAATCACTGAGACAGTAACCCACATTATAACATCAAAGTCTTGGCTTGGTTTATTAGAATCAATACCAGATGCCGATTTAATATGATCTGCATTGTTTGCAGTGCCCGGTACAGGCCCGGTAGCGGAAGGATAGGATGCAGTAGGTGAGACTGTGTCGTTCTCACCAGTCACAACAGATTGCGGTGATGAGGTGAAATGATCTATATACTTTGCAGTGCCTAGTGAAGTCCCGGTAGCGGAAGGATAGGATGCTGTACGTGGGACTGTGTCGTTCTCACCAGTCACAGCAGATTGCAGCGATGAGGTAAAATTATCTATATACTTTGCAGTGCCTTGTGGAGACCCGGTAGCAGATGGATAGGATGCTGTAGGTGAGATTGGGTCGTTCTCACCAGTCACAACAGAAATCGGTGATGAGGTGAAATTATCTAGTGAAGTCCCGGTAGCGGAGGGAAAAATTGCAGTAGGTGGGACTGTGTCGTTCTCACCAGTCACACCAGATTGCGGCGATGAGCTGGTTACATTCAGGCAAGTTGTCTGGTAATGCCTGTACCAGCCGTCGTCTTCTGGTGACGTCATGTTGTTTGTAACTGGAAAGATCAGCATGCGCATGGTGAAAAGTTGGGACTACATTGTATTTAAATAGTGAAATAAAGCCGCACCTTTTGAAGTATTGAAATACACCAAAAATTGTAATTTATCATGGAATTAAAAATTGAAAATACAAGATTTAAAAGCAAACGTTTAATAAAAACTCAAGTCTTATTTTTTATAACCGAAAATAGATTACTGGAAGCATTTTGTTCCAAAAGAAGCATTGTAAACTAAACAATGGTCTAATACACTGCAGTTGGAAATGTTGAATTAAATCTTATTTCTATATGAAGCATCCCAGCAGGCATAGTTGCGTTGGATCAACGTTAACGTTGAAAACAGGTTGATACGTTGAATTGCCGTTGATCTACCTAAATTCAACGTAAAATCAACGTTGATCCAGCCACGTCGAAACACTGTCATAATGTGACGTTGACTCAACGTTGTATTTTGGTCAATGACACAACCTTGCAGTTATGGATTGTAATTTAAAATATTAATTGTTGAAAACGTGATACTTTGTTAATCAATACTGTAACTAAATTTATCAAAATAATAACAAAAGGGTTTTAAAGTAAAAGTGACAGTTGTTTTGTCTTTAGTGAACTAGTGAATTTTCTTAACATGTTATTCAGAAATACATTCCAATGAACTGAATTCCTTGCAAGGTCAGCTAACACTAGGATGAATAAGTTTCTGTAAATGTGATAGGGTTAACAGTTCTTGGTAACCTGTTATAGATAGACAGGTTGAGGTGACTGTGACTTTGTTATATATATATATATATATATATATATATATATATATATATATATATATATATATAAACCTTGGAAATTTAACTGAATGGCCATACATTTATACCCTACATATATTTAGCCATCAAACATGTCCTACTGCTAAACACATCCAGGCTAATTTCCCGCTGGGTGGGGTTGATATAACATTGTTTTCTGACGTTGATACAACGTTGTTATCTGAGGTTGACACAACTTTCAAATCCAACGTTTATTCGATGTCTTCTCAACGTTAAAACAACATAATTTGCCCGCTGGGATGTTTTTTTTCCTAAAATGGCAGGATATGTACATTGTAATCTAGTTGGTCCAAATACACAAAGAGAACCTACATGTATAGTTCTACATGTATAGGGTGCAGTGATACATGCATTAGCACGATCAAAATGCTTTTAAGAATTGGTAAATGTTTATAGTAACAAAACTGCACTAATGGGCTTATGTCAAATATAAAAAAGTTCGGTAAATGACCTACCTGAACAAAGTGCTTTAGAGAAGTCCTCTGCCAGCTCGCCCAGCTCATCAAACGCTTCTACATGGAAAGCATGGGTATACGCAGGTGGGCTAACAATCGCTTTCAGTTCTAGAAGTTGGCTTGTCTTGTTGCCGACCCCTATCGCATACACTTCAATACCCTGTTGCTTTGCCGCCAGCGCCTTTTGTACAGTAGTGCAGAATTTGTCGTTCAGTCCCGTAGTTAGGACGACAGCGATTTTACTTGCATTTATTCTTCCTCCTTGAACATGCTTAGGACTAAGAAAAACGGTTTTGGCCAAGTCCAACGCGTTATACGTTTGGCTTTCGAAAGATGTCCCATTGTGTACGTTCACAGTGAGGATTGCTGCCGATACGTCGGGAAATATGTCCCCTTTGTCCAGTGTCACATGGCCATTTATTTCCGGTTTGAAAGAAATAATAGCGATATTGACGTCACTAGGTCCAATTACGAATGAATCGTTGACCAAATAGGCCAAGAACCGTTGGATCTTTGGTGCATCATCTGGAGAGCCAGTAACATCTAACAGGAATGCTATGTCCTTGTTTTTACACGCTGAAAAAAACATTACATAGGACTAAGCAATGTGTGTTTTCCTTTTTTTTCATTAAAGTACAATATTTTCTCTATATTAGAAATAAAAAATGAAGCAGGGAAGGCCTGTGTGACAGGAATGGTGCTCCGTTAGGAATCGTAGGCCAACGTTCCTCACCTTCTACAGGTGACATTCGTCCCACATACATTACTAACCCCAACACTCCGACTAACTCTTACATGTATTAACCCTCATCCACAAGGAAATGGAACCCTACGTAAACCCTGAAACCGGGCCTCTGACTCCCATATATTGTGACTCCCCAGTCAGATTTTCATTATGAAAATGTGACTTCCCAGTCAGATTTTCATAATGATAATCTGACTCCCCCTATGAAATTTTGACTCCCCCCCCCCCCAAAAAAAAATAAATAAATAAATAAAACATTCATAAATCTCATTTAATTTCAGTAAATGACTATGATCTTGTAGTATGCATAATGGAGGACATATTTAAAAGTTTGAATGGTAAAATACTGGGTGAAAATAAATGAAAAAATTTATGAAAATCTTCATTTTCATATGCATGGATTTTGGACTCCTATGGACTCCAATTAGTGAAAGGCCCCGTTTTATATTTGCTGTTGTTTTTCCCATTTTTTCCCAAAGCTGAATGGAAAATGGGGATTGATGATTTTAAATGGATAACAAAGTGCACTCTTGTACCCGTAGGATTTTGACTTCCCTAGTCTTTCAAATATTTCTAATATAATCTTCTTAAAGTAAAAGTTAGGGAAAGGTGTTGAAATGATCATCAAATATTAAACAGATAGCTTTTTCACAGGGGAGTTATTGGGTGATAAAATGCACGTTTTTAATTTTCTTATTTTTCATGTTTTCTTTTTAGTTTTTTCACCCAATAGTTTACCATCAAACTTTCAAATAATATAATCTTAATAAAGTAACTTTAAAGGAAAAATGTAGAAATGATAATCCAATATCAAATAAATAGCTTTTTCATAAGGGAGACAATGGGCGGTTGAGTGCACATTTTTAATTTTCTTATTTTTTCATGAAAATGTTCACCTGCAAACTAAAAAAAAGTGCCAATGTATCCTCTATTTTACATACTTCAAGATCTCAGTCATATACTCAAATAAAATAAGATTTATGAAGTTTTGTGGAGGGGGGAGTCAAATGTTCATGGGGGGAGTCAGATTTTCATGTGTATGGAACATGCGGAAAATCATTTTTTTTCTCAAAATGGAAAGTTTCGCAAAGCTAGTGCAGTCTATCAGGTATGTAATAATGATAGATTTAAACTGATATCTGCATATCAGGTGACCAAGATGACCGATTACTCATAAATAATAATTTCTCCAGGTCTTGAATCTTTCACAGGCAGATTTCTATTCTATTCTATATACATTTCTAGACATTGTTTGAACAAAGCTCCACACAAATGTAAAACTCAACAATGCATCACATATCTTATATACACATGCTCCCATGTGGAAGTAAAATTATCAAGGGGCCGGGCCTCGGAGGCCCGGTTTCCAGGAAATGGGACTAACTTTTGGAAAAGTTAATTTCTACATATGGTGTAAATTATTTCAAAACTAGTTATTTATCCATTGATGGGGTATAAGTTGCTTGAGGATTACATGAAAGGAACAGGCTCAAAACCTCATGTGAATGAAGAGAGAGCAAAAGATACATGGGTCTGGGCCTGCGAGGCCCCCTGAAAGGTGGATGAGGGTTAAACATATGGGGCCCATGTAATGTAACTGAGGGTCCGTATAATAGAAAGTTCGCCCTCCATATAGTTATAATGTTTAGGGTTAGCCTGACCAAAGTGGGTATAAATCTAGGGCGAGGCTTCCATGTACAAATGAATGGGAATCGGAATCTCTATCATGGGGGACTCTCTGTCACGTTACACCCGGACTTCCAATCCTAGGATTACCGTTCCGCTCGGAATAAAGTATATTTTTCCAGAATTTATCGTATTCTGTTATTGTTGCACTTGGCGATCAGTTTCTCCCAATATTGTGAAAGTCATAAACGGTTAGCTGTAATCATAGTTTTTTGTAATCATAATTTGGTTTGTCTAATAAAGATATGACAGAACTGATCCACAGGTTAAGTTTTGGGATATACTTTTATAATTAAAGTAAATTGATATGTTACCGTCAGTTGTGTGAGTGCTACTCGTTGTTCCACCTGCATCTGAAATAAATATAAATTGTGGTCATTCTGCTGAATTTGAGCTTTGAATATTTTACTTATATGTAAATTGTATTTATTATTCATAATGGGCATCTAAAATGACCCGAGCGAATGGGGAAAATAATCCCTCTTAAATGCGGCTTTTTTATATCAAAAAGAAAAATAATACTCATACATCATAAAACACTTATCTTAATTTTACATTGAATCGGCTTGAAATACAACCATTTATGCAAATCGAGAATCTTAATTAAATATTCGATCCTCTCACATTTTTGATAAATCAGCATAAATGACGCCAGGTGCAAGGCAATGAAGAACAACCCTCTCATTTCCCTTGTATAGGTATGTTGAAACTGTCGATGTCTCACGGTTCTTCCTTGAGTCCGTTGGATTTGGCAGTCTGTGTCGCTGGCATTTAATCTTGTTTTAAATCATGCATCAAGTATAATCAAACACTAGGGGACGTCTTTAAGCACAAAAAGTAAATAGAAGAGCATGTGATTTATCTGCTTTACCAAATTGATTGTTGTTTAATAGATACCGAGGTGATGCGTTCAGGTGCACTCATCTTATTGAGAGTACGACTGCCCTGGTAAATTGGTAAATTGGGTATTAAAACGCTTATCACGCGTCACTTCTGAACAATAAGCTAGTGAATGAGATATGGGAAGGGGTTATCGAAAAATTGGAAATTGGGGTTTCTGAGAAAAAATGTGCTGCCTTATATTTAAATAAAAACAGTAATTTGAGTTTCTAGTCAGTGGGTTCCTCGTTTTCCTGGCATATTTATCTGAAAATTATCCGAATCCAGCATATACTATGTAGCAAAGTAAAGCGACTTAATGCACTACAGCGGTGTATGACGCCTGGATTGCGTAACAAGGTGGTATCTTATCGAAAGCTTGATTGATGTGCCAAAGATACCGATGTTTTCCGTCTGGGTATTATCCTTTAATAAGAATGAAACACTTCTAATAGATGTGTGGATGATCGTATATTACAAAAGACCACAGGTGGAGGGCATGGTTTCCGTTGCTACAAGCATAAGGCACTTTAAAATATGCTGGTCATTTTGAGACACATTTCTCGTTTCAATTTTCGATAATTGTAATGGCATACAATTACGTCACAGAGGCCTTTTAAACAACGCATTCGCTGACTCGCGTATGTTTTATAAACTTCAAATCTTCAAACTTTTGTTAATGCTTAGATACATTATAACATGCAAACGGTAATTCGGCAAATGGAATTAAGGTCTTGAATCGAAATTAAGCCACATTTATTTGATTGTGCGAATACACTTATGTTATCCATTTTATGTTGCCGTATGAAATATTTTTTCATTAACAGTGTGCTTCCTCCATCAGATTCTCATGATACTTATAGCCATGCTATGTTAAGTTGTGTCCAAGCGATATCTTTCTCCTATAAAGATTTGATTGAAGTTGGAGACTAATTAAATGTATTGGTACTTGGGAATACAGATAAAAATGTTTGCACAGGTTCAAGTTTGATGCCAGCTCTAATACTAGGATGACAATTTTCCTCTACACTAGATGATAAATTGGACCAATATATGACTACGAAAGTGATACAGAAAGATAAATCATCCCTGAAGCGATTACATAATACAGTTTAAAGATGGCCCAATTCCTTTATACTGTCCCCCACTGGTGTTGTTGATTAGAAAATCAAGCTCTTCCAAACAGTTCAAACAATATCAGTCATAAAATAATAGCAAAAGTGTGACTAATTTTTATGAACTCTGCTAAAGGAATAAGAATAATATTGATCTGAAACAAGCAACAAATGCACAAATGAAATTTAAATGTTTGTCACTCTTTCTCTTGAGTGGCTCACTATCTACGAAACATACAGTATCTAAAAAGTGGTTTATTCCTATTTGAATAGTTGTGTCACTTGTGTGAGATAACAAACAATTAAAGTTCGGTTGGGGAATGAATTAGCCAATTTAACTTGCTTGCTTTGAACCATCAAATCTGATTTAAGAATCGAGAAAAATGTTTGCTTACGTACATCATACTACCCGTTCACTGCGCTTGGCAGATTGTCTTTGCAAAAAAAAGTTTCTTAACTGATACAATGTGTACCGGTACACTTTTTCATCCGGTGGTACACTTTACGGATGCGATCTACAACGGTTCACTTCCCATATCAAGTGCAAAATCTATATGATATAGCCTGTGTCGGTGTAACGTGACAGAGAGTCCCCATAATAGAGAGTCCACTCTCCATTCATTTGTACAGGTGAGCCTCGCCCTAGATTTTGACCCACTTAGGTCAGACTAACCCTAACCATTATAACTATATGGAGGGCGGACTTTCTGTTACAAGGACCCTCAGTTATGTAAAACCGGTACCCTTTTCACTTTTAGTGGTGATTTTGACTGATTATTCATATCAATCATCAATATTTTCAACGATCAAATTCTTTTCTGTTTTTTTTCGATTTCACTTCCCCATTTACTCGCATAAAAGCACAACAATCAAACCCTTCAAAAATCCTGTTTTTCCTGTTAAAGTCGCAAACATCATCTCACAAAATCATTGAAAAATACGGCAGATGGTGTAACATTTTATCAAAACTGAGTATTAATTTGAGTGAAAATCAAAAATGAAAGAGATTCAAAGAATACATGTACCAATTGATAATCTGTGCTATTGTTATACTCGACAACATAAATTTTTTTTGTCTGAATATCGCTATGTATCTTCTGAGCTTCTTTCTTCTCTGCAATCTAACATTGGAAAAGAAATACAAGTTAAACATCACAAAGTACGTATTTCACCAAATTAAATGACAGCTTAAGCTCAACCTGCCTTCAAAAAAAGTGACCGGTTCAGCAAACTGGCGCAACTCAGCGATTACAATGTTTTAAGTCACATTTTCCAAATAAAAGAACGGTATAAGAACCTTACCCCATGTAGATGTGCATCAATTTAGGTATGTATCTCTAGCGACAATACCTCCCCCAGTCCCATCTTCCACAGATCTCTTGTTTAGGCATTCGCATTTTCGGTAATAGCCGTGCCAGAAACTGAAAAAAAAAGTCATACCCAAACTTCAGATTATATATATATAATTTACTGTGGTCAATGAACATACCAGTAAATGACTAAAATTAATCTATTTGAAAGCCATTCCTCTTCCCGGGATCATTGATATATTATGTCCATTCGATCATTGTACATGTATACAAGCCACGGTGCGTGACGACGGTCTGCAATGATTCGTCCTGTTCCATTTTTATCCATGTTTCTGTGTCTTTGAATAAGTATCATTTGAAAAAAAAATGTACGCATTGAAAACAATACCTTATGAACTAATCCAGCACAAACACAAAACTTTAGCAGAAAGTTAATTGTGGTAACGCTCTAAATACGTTCTGTGTTTGCTGGGAACCATGGTCATATAAGGATACCTGTTTCACAGTAATTGGCAATTTGAAGTCCTATGTCGTTAATAAGTATGTTCATCCTATAGGAAGGCCTATCAAGATGAACAGGAGTTTAAAGATAGGATGGAAACGAAGAGATACATACGGCGGACGATGCCAATCGCTGTACCAGGGGTTGCAGTCCTTTCTGCAGCCTCCATCACAAGCACAGCCGAATATGTTACACTTCCCATATCCACAATATGGAGTGGTCTGAAACAGAATATTCGCTTTTGAGATGTGAACCTGATTACTTTGAACACATGTAAGTATTTTAAAGTGCTTAGCTTCTGTTTGTTTTTTAAACAGATTTTGATCGCTTTGTCACCAATCACCAAGAAATCCTGAATCACGTTTCACGCAGAATATTGGGCTCAAATATCGCATCACGCTCGAAAAATAAAGCCAATCACGCTGAACGCAAAAGGTATTCCCTACCATCAGAAACAACTGTGTGCTTGACATATACCATAAATGTGTCTTACCTCAGTACAGTCCGCACACCACCCGGCCTTGTCCTCTTTACAACACACAGCTTGAGCTTCCTCTATAACAGTGGATATCACGAAGACAGCAACAAATATGGTGACAACAGATGCTGCCATCTTCTGGAATTACAGAATTGGTGCTAAGATATTGAAATAAAGAATCAAACACTTATTGCTTTTTGTTCTCTACACTGTTCGATAAGCAAAATAACCTCACCACTATCCAACTTCCCAAACCGGTCTACCGCACACACCTTTACCGCTGAAGTAATGTAGGGAGACTGAATAGGAGTGGTTTCGTAGGTCCCGTATAACTGAGCTTCCGCAGCTCTGTGCGTGTCTTTGATATTGAATCAGCAAAAAGGTGAGAACAATCAATTGGTGGTAACGTACAAAAAGATCGATATGAAAGAGGAGTGCTTTGTGAAATCTGTTAATGGAACATCTAACATTTGAGAGTAAAATTATTAAAACTGCACACCTATCTGAGTATAGAGTGTTTTTTTGTCTAGTGGCAGATTAATGCAGAAATGGATAAAATGTGTTTTTCAAATGAAAAACATCCTTTGTAAGATGCTGTTTGCGATTTTAACAAGAAATATAGGTTGCTTGAAGAGTTTCATTGTTGTGGGTTTATGTGAGTCAATGGGGAAGTGAAGAAAATAGGCAGCACCAGATCGTTGAAAATGTTGATATAAAATGTGATATCCTCTACATAACGTACGTCTTGACATTATATCTTCACTTTAAGTCAACTTTGAATAGTGCTTTTAGAATAAGACACGAGTTCGACTCGGGGGCATTTTTATACAAGGTGATAGGAAGGAAGTGTGATGCTGAGTGAGCAAGGCATTCACCAGACTTGCCCCCTGCCCCCCCCCCCCCGCCCCTGGCACAAACACACATATTTTTTCAGTTGGTATACCTTAAGTATAAAGTGTACGAGAACAACCCTTAAACAATTGAAGGCGACAATTGCAGCAAAAATCACGGAAATCCCCAAAGTGGAATGTGTTCGAGTGTTCGACAATTTTGTGGGACATATGCAAGTGTCCCTCAATGCCGCGGAGGACATTTGGAACATATAAAAAAACAAAACTTTAATGCAGGACTACAAAGATAACTGACGTTTTAGGGAATGATCATGCATGCACATATTGTAGTTTAAGTCCAGCAATATCTTAAAATTTGAAGGACCTTCGTAGATTTTAATTATTTCTTATGGATTTTTTTTTATGTCAGTCTGTCTTACGCTCACATATAAAAATACACAAAACAAAAAGATAAAATTGGGTCTCTAACATTTCTTGTTTTGTTTTTACTGAAATCAGAGCTGTTTTCATACAGTGGTGTCATATTGATGCTACAAAGAGTCAAAATGCCGTTGCAAAAACTTTAACATAAGAATAGTATCTTGTCCAAATAAAACGCCAACTTCGAAAAGACATACAGGATGTCACATGCACATATTTACCTTTTTCCACACACCTTTATTATACGAAAATATTTGATGTCTCATTGTCAGATCTATTTCACAAAGCAGTTCTCTTTCATAGTGATCTTTTTGAAGATCTACGTTACCACCAACTTATTGTACTCACCTTTTTTACTTGTTGAAACAACATCAAAGACACAAGCAGTGCTGCGGAAACTCAGTTATACGGGACCTACGAAATAGCTCCTATTCAGTCTCTCTACATCAGTCCAGCGGCAAAGGTGTGTACAGTAGACAGGTCCGGGACGTTAGAAAGCAGTGAGATTATTTTTGTTTATCCAAAAGTGAGGCAATAATAACAATTAGTGTTTAATCCTTAACTTAAATATGACTTAGTATCAATTCTGTAATTCCAGAAGATGGCAGCATCTGTTGTCACCATATTCGTTGCTGTCTTCGTGATAGCCACTATAGTTAACGAAGCCAAGGCAGCTTGTTGTAAAGAGGATAAGTCCGGGTGGTGTATAGACTGCACTGAGGTAAGAGGCAGTTTGTTGCCCCTATTTAACACCGACTAGGGATTCCACGAACAGCCAAGAATGTCTTAATCCCGCGATTCTTAGTTAAACCGTGATAAAATCTTTAAAATCTTAACCGATTCTTATTTATAATCAGTCAGTACTTTCAAATCTTTGGGAGATCATGTAACCGGCACAAAAGTATCATATCAGTCTTCTATTTATCACCGGTTAATGTTCATACTGCAGTACTGGGGCCACTATATAATAGCTACTCTATGTTGAACATCCGTTTTGGAAGTGAAGCCCAAGCAGGGACAATATTTCTACAGAACTGTGCAAAACTGTGCTTCCTTATGATTTCTAAAATTCATTAGTTCCTGGCGGTTATCTGGAATTCGTGCTTGGTGTGGAATGGGGAAATATGCCAAGCACACGGTTTAAATGTTTAAGGTTGTTCATTTAGAAAGAGACAAAGAACCTGCACGAGTAGAAAACAACATTGCCTTGCTTTCTCGACATGAAGCGGTTTGATCCAAATTAATATGGAGTCATTCAAATATCCAACATGTGTAAACATTGCATTGGTGCAGAAAATGTATATCCATGAAAATAACGGATTCTCCCTTTTTGTGCTGACCCTCCTTTTGTGCTGACACCACCATATCATTCCCATCATGAAATTAAAATTTTGGATTTTGGCTAGCTGAATCATAGTTCTTAACCGTATC